GGAGTTTTTGAACAAGAAGGGTGTGCAAGGCAACAAGAACTGCTGTAAAGGTGGACTGACCACACCGTACCAGCAGTGCGAGTGCAAGACTTTTTTCCGCATCTGCTTAAAACATTATCAGCCCAATGCATCTCCAGAGCCACCCTGCACCTACGGAGGCACCGTCACCCCTGTGCTGGGCTCCAACTCTTTCCAAGTGCCAGATACCTTACCGGATGGCTCTTTCACCAATCCCATCAGGATGAATTTCGGTTTCACGTGGCCGGTGAGTGCTGATGCATTGACTTTGAGAAGTAATTCAGAAGTAATGTTCAGCTCATTTTCTGATGGACAAATCGTTTTTTGCTGTTGCAGGGAACCTTTTCTCTTATCATCGAAGCAGTGCATGCTGATTCCAAAGAGGATCTGACAACAGGTATGTGGTCTCATAGCAGAAAAAGAATGTTAATATGAATATTTTTGAATTGCATCACTGAAAATCATCTTCTACACAGAAAACCCAGAGCGCATCATCAGTACCATGACCACACAGCGGCACTTGACTGTGGGCGAGGACTGGTCTCAGGACCTGCACAGCGTGGGTCGAACCGAGCTCAAGTACTCTTACCGCTTTGTGTGTGACGAGCACTACTACGGCGAGGGATGCTCTGTATTCTGTCGGCCCAGAGATGATGCATTCGGTCATTTCACCTGCGGAGAACGTGGAGAAATCATCTGCGATGCCGGGTGGAAGGGCCAGTACTGCACAGAACGTGAGTTAAAATATTGTATATTAATATAGTAAACATTGCATAAAATTCCGTAAATATAATGTTGTTGGTTTGAAAAACTCAGCCCAGATTTGAAAAGATTGCGTGTAACTTATTTAGAAAAGAGAGTGAGAAAATGCAAGGAAAAAAACAAAGTTAACGGTTACGAACAACTTGTAACTAATACCCCCGCCCCCCACACTCACACTCCCCCCTCCAGCCCACTCTCACAACACACCACTTGATTTATTCCAGTCGGGAGGAGGAAAGTT